AATTCATGATAACTGGATTAAACCAGGATGTCTCGTTCAGTGGATATGGCCTATTTGGCTAAACCATCGGCAATAGTATTTTGTGCCCTTTGAACATGATCAAAAGACACGATTTTTAGATCGAGAAAGAAGCGAGAGATATCTTGAAGAATACCAAACAGCTCCAGATTCTGGGCGTTAGATTTGATGATCTTGATGAGAGATTGTGAATATGATACTAGACAGAATGCAGCAACCACGAGTAGTTAGCTTATTTAAAAGCAAAAATATAAATGTATTTCCCATGCTATTGAGAGAGAGGGGAAAATTATTATTGTCCAATGAAGATTTACTGTTTTGAAATGTAAATGATTATATTCAGCCACGTCAGCTTTCGTGCAGATAAAATATTCAATTCATTGCTTCCTGGTCCTGCTCAGAAAGACATTTGCTTCTTGAATCGATGTCTAATGCATCTTCTGATCGATCAGCTTCCAGCTTACAGAATATACATCTTCATAGAATCATAGGAGATTCATGATCTCATGGAAAGATAATCTCTACTTTGTTTGAGAAGTAATATATTTATTCATAGTTTCTCCTCTATGAGTTTGACGTATATTTGGTTACAAGATATACTCATTTGATTCGACAAGGGCGGATGCTGAAACATGATGCTTCCATGAAAACATGGTACTTAAAGAAAGGTTAAGTTTGTCATGAGGAGACTAGGAACTAATGGAAATGTTTGGAAAATGTGTTACTATGCATAGATCTTCACAATTGTCCATGTTTTCTGATCTATTATTACAATCTTGGTTTGATTCGATATCGCATTAGCTTCAAAAATTTTTGCTTCCGTAGGAATTACACATCGAAAACTGAGATGGGAGCTAAGTAGTATATAAAGAATACTAGAAATCGGGTATGTTTCATAGATTTGTTTGCTATTTTAGTACAAATAAAATGGTATCATGAAGATTTTTTTATTTTGTGGATCTTACAAAATTTATATGTTTATCAAATGTAAAATAAATAAAATGATACATTGATCTTTTTCACTTTAAGTGTTTATGTTGTTTAAATTAATAATTTATTCATGTGAAATATATACACAAATAAGTACACAATTTCGTTGTTTGCCACATGTATTTTTGGTTACTCTTTAACTCATTCCTTATCAATTAAATTAATATAATTCAGTATATTATTTTTGCATATGTTCATGCATATTTTATTTTCTCTAAAAATTATTGGATTCTTTGATTATTTGAAATTTGATAATACCAAAAGTTTAATTTCTTTGGCTCAAACACAAAATCTTTAAAACTTAAAAGCTTTTTATTTTTTATTTAGTTTTCTCAGCTTTTTTTGGTCTATTATTATATGATTTGTATCTTCATACAAATAAGGACAAACATTTTTTTTTCATACCAATTCAATCATTCACTCGAAAAAGTATACGAAACAATTAAAACACCAAAATGTTTTTCCAACTTTAAGTGCATTGCATCGGATGAGATATGTTTTATCAATTGGTTTAATATATCATTGGATGATATGATATGAAATTCATGAAATATCTTTATTCGCAGCTCCACATAGTGCAAATTGTCTTTTAAACCCTTCGACGCGTTTTCATTTGGACAGTTGAACTACAAAAAAAAAAGTTATCGCAATATGCATACAGATTGTAAATATTATATAACATACCTTGGGCACATGGAGCTCGTTCGTTTTAACCTCATAGATATTCTTGAGGCATAAGGATGATACTTACTATAACATCTGCAATGTTTCACATTCAACTTTTGTAAGAATTATGACTGATATTTGCTATTGTTCATAGCTTAACCAATAAAAAAAAAACAGAATGAGATTAGTGTACATCTCTATATATCAATTCTCTCATGTCTACTTTCGTTCTTTCCCTTGTTTCAAATTCAAACTATTTTGGGATCAGTTGANTAGATGATTCCTGATCCACGTATAGAAGTTAGGATATGCCAATGACTGTGCACACACATGTTGAAACTAATCTTACTTGCGAATACCAAAAATATTAGTCNAGAGAAGCTTCACCTTCTCGNCTCGAACAAAANCTCTCTTGCAATTCTTTTGTCATGTGTCACTGTTGCAAAACTCAAATCTGGTTTCTCGTGAAAGCCATATGCATCCTCTCACAACAATATAATAAAGANATCAGACCTAGATTCAAGTTTTGAAATTTACTAATCAGGTTCTAATAATACACCAATGATTATTTAATGTTACATTAGAACCGCCATGGCCATTGTAAACGGCAGATTAAATCTATTTGTAGACGATTGCTCGAGCAAGGATATTTGACGAAACTTGAAGAAATCAAGGAATTGTTTAGACATAATGTTCAATATATGGTTGTTTTCAACAAATCGACGTATCACAAACGCAAGTTACTATCTTAAACGAAAATCCTTTTTTTTGTCAAAGTTTGAATTTTCATTTAAACCGAAATTAAACTCGGGTTAACCGGTACATAGAGGAGAGATCTTCCAAAATTCCATAGATCTCCATGCTTGGAGTCATCGAATTGATAAGGTGGATCAAGTGTTTGGCATCTGAAGCAACTCGGAAGTTACTGTGACCAGATCCAGAGGCGTGAAGCAGGGCTTCCCGTATTGCCATCGCCTCAGCCATGAGANGTGAGTTTATNTGATTCATCANCGATGAGCCNTTGGCTATAGTCTGGTCTTCTAAAAAAACACTGGAGATAAATATTACACAATCAAACCTAAAAAAACACTGGAGATAGATATTACACAATCTGAAAAAAATCAAGAACTATACATGCAGATCAACACCAAGAGATACAATCAATACGATTCATGAAAACAACAACGAACTAAAATAAACATCAAACAGTTAAACTCGTAAAAATAACATTAAAGATATAGACTGATCATATAAAGTAAGATACGAAGAACAAAATTCACTGTATAAAAAACTAAAAAAAAAATTGATGGAACCAACCTGTTGTTATAAACTTTGATGTCTCGATCGGTGTTAATCTTATTGAAACGATGCTACTGCATTAAAAAACAAAATAAAGCGGCTTGATCAATATTATAAAGTGCTGACCATTGTTTATAGGTTTAACACGATTTATCAAATTAAAACATGGAATCAAATCTGTACGCATTAAATCTCAAAACCTATAACGTCTAACCTCGTTGAAGAACCNAAATCNTNTAGATACCTAATAAAAAATAGAATCGTCAAGGAACATAAAAACTAATAAAAACCTATAAAAAGAGGAGATTTTAAATTATGAGAAAGAGAAGAATAAAATCGATGTATTGGNTTTTTAAATTTTACCAATAATCAACCAATATATAGGNTTATGCANTATGACATATTTTATATACATATTTCTCTTCTATTTTTTCATAATACGTATATTTCCTTTTAATGTTATTTTAAATGTTAATTGTAATAGATTTTCATATCTAATAAATTTATTTTCTATTTAACATCACTCTTTTATAATTAAGAAACTTTACTAATTTGAATGTTTGAAAGAAAAAATGATACTATGAAATAAAATTTTAGAAAATAAGGAATTACTTATAAAAAGGAAATAAAAAGTTTATGTTAAATATCGATTGATTTAGCTTGTTTCTTGAATTCTTTGATGTTACTAACTTTTTGTGTTAATTTTTTTTTAAAGCTTATGTTGCATAACACTATAGGTTGATTTAAATCATATGTGGACGCTTTTAGAAGCTTATAGCCTCAACTTTTATATAGTATAGATTAAT